AAACCAAGACCTGTCGTCTGTGCCAGGGAGCGTCCCCTCCCCTGTCACCATTAATGGCAAAGCTGATTGCAAGGTGGATTTGACACAAAGCCAGTGCCTGGAGAGGTTGGGCCTTGCCGAGTCCTCCAACACCCCGGTTCTGCGACACCTGGGCTGGGGGAAAGGGGTTTGGGGCTTGGCCGGCAGCAAAAGAATTAGCTTCAAGCAGAGCAGTGGAGGTAGAAAGGGCGGACAGGGAGCGGCGGGGTCTGTTGTACGGTGGCTGATACGATGCCTTCCTTCAACCCCGCCACTGCCTTGATGCATGACCTTGGGCTTGTTACGTCCCTGCTCTCCCCCCCCCCCCCCCCCCAAGGGGACCAACGACACCAGCTACTTTGTGACTCCCTATTTCCAGGAGAAGAAACAAACTGGAGCAAGATCCTTGATAGAAATCATCACCTTTTTTTTTTTTTTCTTCCCCCTAATGCCAACTGTGCCATCCTTCCCGAATTCCCAATCATCCAATGTTTCCATCAATGTTTCCAGGGGAAAACATTTCCATAAGAATGGCTTCCCCTTTGGGCTTGTTATTCATAGATGGTAAGGCCGGAGGGGACCTTGGAAGATCATTGTTTTAGCAGGGATGCTGATGCTGTTTGCAAGAGGCAGGTAAAACCTTCTTCAACATCCAGTCGCCGCGTGCTTTGAGAGCGGGGCTGGAAACAGGCTCTGACCATGCAAACTGGCCTTCCAACGTGTGCAAGGCTGGTGAGTGGGATTTTGTCCCCAGAGGCTGGACCAGTCCCTTGTTTTTCAGGGAGCTTGGGATGTCAGTGTAGCGTGGAGCCCAGATTTCCAAATGACGGCAGATGTGCTGTAAATGCAGCCGTGCGTGTGAGCATAACCTTCCTCCAGTGCACGTGGCTCTTCTGGGGAGCCGTCCGGCAAAGAGGGCCATTGATCTGATTTTTTTTGTTTCCTGTTTTGAAGTATGGGGAGTCATAGAAAAGGAGGGCTGGAAAGGAGCTCAGGAGGGGGGTTGCACATCTAGTGCAACCCCCTGCTCCAAGCAGCACCAGCCCCAACTACATCATCCCAGACAAGGCTTTGTCTACCTGAGTCTTAAACACCTCCAAGGATGGAGATGCCACCACCTCTCTGGTTAACCTTGTTCTAATACTTCACCACCCTCCTTGCAAGAAAGTTTTTCTTAATATTCAACTGATGTTGCAACTTCTGATGCTTCCTTCTCCCCATCTAACGTGGGACAAGGAGCTCTCCCGACTCCGATGGTTTAATTAGGGTCAATCCTGCCTTGAGCTGGGGGCTGGATGAAGATGACCTTGTGAGGCCTCTTCCAGCCAGACTTTCCTATGATCCTGTGACTTTCCAAAGATTGGCTGCCTCAGCTGATCCGATCCTGGCCTGTTTTAGAGGCTGAA